GGATTCCCCACCCGCACTATCATTTTCTATGTTCAGTGGACTGTGAAATTGGGTCAAAACTCTAATTTGGCATTAAAATTAGAAAGATCTTATCATAGGGAACATTTGTACTAAGTTTCAATATGATTGGACTTCAACTTCATCAAAAAATACCTTGACCAAAAACTTTAACAAAAAATTTTAATCTGAAGCAGGACAGACGGACGAACGAACAGACGCACAGACAGAAAGACATAATGCACCTAAGTGAGGGGCATATAAAATGAAAATATTAAAATCTTGGTTATTTCTAGTTTGATTTTTAAAAACGAAAAAATGGAGAATGGAAACAGGGAATGTGTCAAAGAGAAAACAAGGCCACTAACGGCTCTTTAACATAGCAAGTAAATCCGGCACACGGAGGTGGGCTTCAGCTGACCCCTTAATTATTTGTACACTAGTTCAGCAAAATGGACACTACCCTAAACTCCAGTACATACAAATGAACCAAAATTATCACCAAAAAAAAAACACACAAGACAAACAAAGTCTAGAGGTTCCTGACTTGGGATAGGTGCAATAATGTGACAGGGGTAAAACATGTTGCGTGAGAACTCAACCCTACCCTAGTTTCTCTAGACAATATAGAATAAACAAACACACAGTAAAACTCAGTTTTAAATATGTGCATTTTGTGGAAGTTTGAAATTTTATCTTATGTTTCGGTTATGTATTTATAGTAATTATACGTGTAGGTATAATAAACAAAAAATGATTGTGTTAAAAAATAACTCTAAATCAGTTGGGTACTGACTTTGATTCTGTCATGTTAATTGCTGGAAAAGTCATTTTTCTAGTGTCCTTGCATCGTCATTGACTGTAGTCCTTTTTGTGTATTTTTTCATTAGCTACTTTTACAATATTTGAATTGCATAAAGTCACAGTTAAACACAGACGATGTGATTGTAGATTTCTCTTAATGTGTTGCTAATTTTATTTAGCAAGCTCTATCAATATCCACGTTTAATTTCAGATATATAAGCTTTTTAAATTTAGGAACATATACTAGTTCACTGAATTAGCATTAAAAGAGGGTCAAAAGATACCAGAGGGACAGTCAAACTCATAGATCGAAAATTAAATGTAGATCTGATATTGTTTAAGGCATTTTCAAGAGCAGCTTTGTCAATACGATTATAAGTTTACCTAAAGCGCTTGAATTTAAATAGTAATTGTACTAAAGTGGTCCAATTTTGGATGTTGAAAATGAGATAAGCACTGTTGAATGAATTAATGGGATCACTTCCTGGAGGAAGTGTTTATAGCAACAACGCCTTATGTGTGTACCATATAAACCTGCATGTGTGTGGTAGTTTGAAACATCAACCAAATGGTAATGACAAAGAACTAACATGGGTTGTCTGCTATATGAAAATATTATGGTCAAAGATATATCCAACGCAATCATAGGTTTGAACGTTGCTTTCAATTTAGACTTGTATATACTTACTAGTATATAAAGAAAAGCATTACCAAGTTCTTTATTTAATATATCTCATTGAATTAATTTAATAAAAGTTAATCAGATTCAGCCTAAGAACTGTAAACAAATTATCATGCATCATCTGTGTATGAGTTAAAATTTGCAGTGTCTGTGGGCGACTTTGATGGCCAGAGATAGCGTTTAGATAGTCATGTCTAATCTGAAAGTATGTCCGTTGGTTTTTGTTTAAAAACCTCAAATCTCTCTTTGTTCATAAATATACTGTATTACAGATATATCAATGTTAAAGACGCTGTTTTCTGCTTCCGGAATGCTGACCTGTATTCAACTCATTTGAACGAAACTATACAAATATTTAAAAAAAAAATACACCTCATGCCAAAAGAATATAAATGTTTAGCTTTTAAGGTCGACTAAACTCTATCAGTGATCTCTTGGTAGTAAGTTTGATCGCTTGCCAATGAAACCATCACTTATTATAAAATCTTCCCACTTTAAAAACATAAGAAGATGTTGTATGATTGCCAATGAGAAAACTTTCCACAAGAGATATCAATGATTGCCAATGAGAAAACTTTCCACAAGAGATATCAATGATGCATGTGGGTGTGGATGTAAACAACTATAGTTCATCGCCAAAATATAAAACTAGTAAACGAGAAACTCAAAGGCCTGATTAATGTTAAAAGAATAAACAGAAAAACAAATATGACAGACAGCAAACAATAACAACCAAGTGTTAAAGGGCCACTGACTTGTGATAATCTTATTCATAGAGTGCAGGGTTAACCCTGTTTGAGAGCACTAAACCCTCCAATAATCAGGAACAGTTTTTATTAAGGGGTCGGCTGAGCTAGGACCACCTCCTGGTGCGGGATTTTCTCGTTGCGTTGAAGACCCATTGGTGGCCTTTGGCTGTTATCTGCTCTTGATCTGGTCGAGTTGTTGTCTCTTTGACATACAGTATTCCCCATTTCCATTCTCAATTTTATTTAAATAGCAAACAACGTAAGAACAAATTGTAAAACCCAGTTGGAAAGGGCTCAACTCAAAAAGATCAGCACGGAGTATATAACCAATTAACAAAAAGACACTGAGTTCTCATAGCTAGTTCAAAGCTTAGTAATTACAGTTGATGAATAAATACTGTTGGCACCGACTAAAATATAAATAAGTACACATCCGATTAGTAACCAAAGTGAAAAGTGGATTCAGTGTTACAGTCAAAGATTTATTTATATGGTGTGTGAGTACTGAGATCGTCGCAAATTGCATGAGTATCTATTTGCTTCGAGGAGCCTGAAATTTTCATTTGTGAAAAAATATTTAACATAAAATCATTTAACACTCATCATTCTTTTTTTTTTTATGAAACATTCTTGGATTCTAAATCTTAACATGTTTGTTCCAGAAGGTAAATGAAAGAAATATATTGTTTTCTTTATAAACTTGTGGAGAAAAAATACATTAAAGACTTTGAATCTTGCAATAACATTTTTTTTTATAAAGAACAAAACACGTGTTTCTGGAACCCCTCCCCCAACAAAAAATAAACTGTATGTGCCTTTAACACAGGGGCAGAATTCTTTCAAATACCAAGTAAGAATGTGACTAAGTTGGTTACTCTAATTTAGTACAGTTTTCCATTTATAGGTTACTTACCAACACTCTTTTGGAGAACTAGATTCTTGGATTGTAAAATAGCAGAACACAATCTCGGTCTATATCTTTATTCAAATATACAAATTTTGAGATAGGAAAGTGATTCATTTGTAATATTATTCTTTTAAATTGAAATAATTGTGTATTGAATTGTATTATTCCAACTGTTTTAAAAAATACAGGACATTTTTTGTATAATTTTATTTTTTCCAACTTTGGCAAATAAGGGGACGCAACTCATATAACCTTACTTTTACTACAAAACATTTTTATAAATTACACCACTTTCCGCAAAATATATTTTTTGTATAGTTTTAGTATGTTGTTCATAGATAGTAACAGTCTTGTTTTTCAGAGAAGAACTTTGTGTTGCAATTAGTTGCAGGTTGTTCACTAAAATGATTTTTTTTTTCAAAATACAAGACCCATAAAACAAAAACACTTACATGCTGAAATAATATATTCATTTACAATCTGTATACACGTGCGTAATTAACGGGTTCTGGTTAAATGAATATGAATTTCAATCGATTACACTCAGCTGACAATCAATAGAGTGTAACACTTGTCGATAAAACATTTAATAACACTGTTATCATGGTAATTTCTAAAGATATGATCATATAATTTGGAATTATTTATTTATTTATAACAACATAGTCTGCTTTTATATTTCATGTCCTTTATGCCAACTATATCCCTAGTGCGTAATATTTAGGTGGTCATTTGCGATATTTCAACATTTTGATTCCTTCCGTATTATATTCTGTATAGGCAGTTTATGTAGATGAATTACCCGAACAGAAAATAGTAAATTGAAGTCATATTATTAGACATATTCAATTCATTCACCAAAAGTGTATCACTATCAACGGCGGAGAATATTTTAGCGCATAGATAGGACATTTATACCGAAAATGTTCAATGCCATTTTAGAGAATATTATTTCATTCGTTGTATAATAATGAATTTTGATATAGTATCAGAATAGCACAATAAAACAAAAATAAATACAGCAATAAAAGTATAAAAAGTTAGAGGGAAACTCCACAAAAAAAAGAAGAAAAATTGATATTATGTTCATTTTGTATAAACCAGCACAGATTCATAAATATTAACGTTTTATTCTCCTAGATAACATATCACCATCAATTTAAAACTCAAAATATCATCAATTCTCTACATTCTGAATAACTATAATCTGTCATTTTTAAACTTTTTTTTACTAACTTTATGAAACATGTAAAAATAGGGGAATTAATTTAGAGCAATTTCTTTCCCAGCAAACACACATTTTAAAAACATTTTTTAAATGTCATATGGACGTCTCTCACAAAATATTTCAATAAGATATCATTTAAACATAAAAAAAAAAGTTTATTTTTAATTGTTTTTGAAATGTTTTATTTCTGACATTTAAGTAAAATGTTTTTACAACATTAGCAAAATATGATTTGCTAATATCTTTTATTCATGTTCTCAAACATTGTTCTAAAATATCCCGTAGATATTTTATAATATAAAAAAATAATATTTTCTTCAATTGGTATTTTATATTTTAACAACATTTAAAGTAAATATTTTCCAAATATCCAAGAAACATTCTGTAAAAAAATGTTTTACAGAAAATATAGTTTTGCTATTTGCATAAAATGTTTTATAACGTTAAATTAAAATGTTTTCATAAAACATCTGAAAAATATCAGCTAAATGTTTTCTATAAAATATTCTGACATACACATTACTTAATAGTCTTACTGATATTTTATTCAACATTTTACGGGTATAAAAATAACATTTTATTTAAACTTTATTCAAAACCCCACAAACAACGTTTTGTGGAATTAGCTGGAATTAGCTCGTTTTTTTTCAGGATAAGATATAGTACTACATTTCATCAATATCATGACAACCAAGATACTATGGTTGAAATCCTAAATTGATATCTTGAAGATCCTTGGAGTCAGATTTTATTCCTTCTTATATTAAAATTCAAAAGAGTCAACATTAAATTAAGCAATAATGTATTAATAAACAATCACCTTTCTTTAATGTTTATTCATTTCGTTCGTGTATATTTTAGAAATTAAGAAATGAAAACTGTAACTGTACTAAGTTCAATTTTCGTATCGTTTATATGCCTTACGGAATACCGACCTTTTCCGGAATCGACTTTTGTTTAATCACCGGAAATGATTTCGAAATTTGAATTTCGAAACGAAGACAGGATATCAACAAAGAGAGCCAAGAAAATTGTTTGTTACGTGATATATACTCACTTGGTAAGAACGATTAATCTGTTAAGATGAAACTTGTGCATTCATTGTGTGTGTTCAATCATAATCGGAACCAAATTACATCTGTTTCTGGAGGTGCGGATCAAGGTTTTGAAAAAAGGGGGCCCCTGCCCAAGGCAAGCAAACGTTACGGTTTGGAGTGATACTTGTAAATAGTCTATAAGTCTATACATTTATCTTATAAGTAGCTCCATAAGGGGGTCGGGGCCCCTAAATCCGCCACTGTTCAACTTCAAGCATCTACGTACACCAATTATGAATTTGTTCATTGATATAAAAAAATTATAAGGATATGTGGCTTGTGTGTTTGATTGCCAATACACCTTATCGCTATTTGTCCGCCATTACTGGCCATGGACATCACAAAAGTTCCCGTAAAATGTTGACGTCATATTAGAAAATATTTGACACCACAATTGAAAGTAATACACCTTATCGCTATTTGTCCGCCATTACTGGACATCACACAACTGTCACAAGTTCCCTTAAAATTTTTACGTCATCATAAAAAATATCTGATGCCACAATGGAAAAGTGATTGTTGTTTGACGTCAAAAGTTCAAGCAGGATAGATTCTCGGGTCAAGCGGGAATAGCGATAAGGTGTATTATTGTATGACGTATGCTGACGTAAAAAATTCAAGCAGGACAGATTTCCAAATACTGAAATAGCGATAAGGTGTATGAGACAGCTATCCACCAGAATTTAAATGACTTGGATAAAAGAAATTATAGGTCACTGTATGGCTTTCAAAACTGAGAAAACCAATGCCATATAGTCCACTTTGAAGCCTTGACAAACAAATGTTAAATTTTTCTCAACACAATTGAAACAAAACAACTAACTGCCTACATTAAATACACATTATGAAAAAGAAATTTGACAGACTTAAACCAACAACAACTATTGCAATAAGCATGACTCAATACCTTGTTTCCGAGGCACACAAACAAGTTACAATAACACTAATATAAGCACCATTTGAATATGGAGATTTTTTTTTTCTAGTAAAATCAGTGTATGTATGTATTTGCAAAACAGTAAATTAAATTTCCCTTAACAGCTTAATGAACATTACAAAGACTATGTAAGACTTCAGTACAAGCAAGATTATATAAACTGTTGCTCAAAATTATATTTATTGCTTCATACACACAATGTATATACTATGTATCTTTTATTTTTTTAACAGGAGCTAAAAGAAAAGCCACAAAGGACAAGTTCAATATGCAGGTTTACAATTTGGAAGTGGCGCAGGTTCTTTGGAATGTCTACAACCTTTCAGGAGATTTTTTTTTTGAAGTAAGATTTTCATACAGAATTACTGTTATTCCATATTTAATTCAAATATTTAGCATAAACAATGCATTACATTCAAGATTAAGGGCATACAATACAGAAAAGATATCTGGATATTTGAATAAATTATTTTTTTTGTGACAAAATAGAAACAAGTTATTTGTTTAAATCAATCTTTTAGTCCAACAGTGTGCTTTCATAAACAACATATTTGCTTTCCTTTGAAGTATTTCAAATACATATAAACAACTCATTTAATGACATCTGTGTGTTTCTTGGAAGTTAAGTTAAATTTGCCATCATTGCGAAAACAATGCGTAACACTTCGATAAGTTGTTATGTGCCTATAGTATACTTCTAGGACTGTATCATATGCCCTTACATGTAGATTCAAATGACAAGTTATAAACTTTGTCACTCTACAGAGTTTAACACTTAAAATAAGATGTTTAATGACATTATGTAGCACGGCTTTTAAAGGCCCCTACATGATACAAGGCAGATTCCATATAAGAAATTGAAATGTCTGTCAAAATGAATAAATAAATAAAAATAATAATAACTGTTATTTTAAAGATAATCTGTGAATGTTTTGAGGAATAACGATGTTAGAAGAAATTATAAAAATAATTTTTGGATATGATTGTTTCCGTTTAAAGTAGAAATGATTAAAACAAGTTGAAAAAATGCAAAAATTTTGACAGAATTAACTCCCATTTTTTTACACAATGTTTATGTGTTGCAATGCTTTATGTTGACACTTGTATACTGGTATTTACTAGTGTAGTCTGGTTATTCAAACATCCCTGTTCCCAAATTTGTAACTTTTTTTAGTCAAAAACATCTGTGATATATATTTTTTTTCACTTTCAAATATCTTGCTTTATAGCTTAGTGTCTGTCAATAAATCTTATGTCAGGAACATCGCTGTAAAAACTTTCAAAATCATTGTAGGTTCCAATATATGCCAGTTAAAACTGTAAGTCATGCTGTGCATAAGAAAAAACACATGTTGATTCTTTCATTTAACTTTATTCAAGCAATAGTTTTAACTTATATGTTTCCTACATAAGATCTGTCAAACTTGTTTTCTTATGTCTGAAACATTTGAATGTGCTAAAAGTTAAAGTTCTTTGACCTGTAGTGAAATCTTGTTAGATGTTAGGCTGCAGTATTTCCAGGAGTTTTAAAAATGACTTTCAACTAGGATTTGATTTCCAATGTCAGTCAAAAAAAACAAATATATATTGTCTGTCAAAATATCTTATGTATGAAAAATCTTATGTCAGAATCAAGTCTGTCAAAATCTTATGTCAGAAACTCAATTTGTCTGTCAAATCTTATGTCAGAAATAATATAGTCTGTCAAATCTTATGTCAGAAAAAATAAAGTCTGTCAAATCTTATGTCAGAAATAATAATGTCTGTCAAATCTTATGTCAGAAAAAATAAAGTCTGTCAAATCTTATGTCAGAAACAATAAAGTCTGTCAAATCTTATGTCAGAAACATAATATTTAAGGCTTCGTTTATTTAAAAAGGATGATGCTCATAATTTTTTTTTGGGTCAAATTGTCTTTATCTTTATTAGTAAACCATGTATTCAAAAACAGAAGTTCATTGCTTATGATTTTTGCCTAACGTGCTTATGGGAGTTGTTTCACTTTCTTATATGGAATCTGCCACAATGCATTTAATGAAAACTAAAAAAAAACAAGAAAATCAACAGCCTGATTTATACAAAACAATAAAAGAAAAAAAATATGATAGACAACAATCAACAAGTATAATGAAATAAGACTCTTGACTGGACACATATCTAGTCTAAAGTTTTTTATGAGGTTTTTTTGTTGAGCCGGCGACTTTTGTCGCAGAAAGCTCGACATAGGGATAGTTATCCGGCGGCGGCGGCGTTAGCTAACTTCTTAAAAGCTTTATATTTTAGAAGGTGGAAGACCTGGATGCTTCATACTTTGTATATAGATGCCTTATGTTAAGAAGTTTCCATCTGTCACATGTCCATTGTCCTTGACCTCATTTTCATGGTTCAGTGACCACTTGAAAAAAAAGTTAACATTTTTTGTAATGTTAATTTCTATCTTATTATGAGTAATAGGATAACTATATTTGGTATGTGCATACCTTGCAAGGTCCTCATGCCCGTCAGATAGTTTTCACTTGACCTCGACCTCGTTTCATGGATCAGTGAACAAGGTTAAGTTTTGGTGGTCAAGTCCATATCTCAGATACTAAAAGCAATAGGTCTAGCATATTCTGTGTATGGAAGGACTGTAAGGTGTACATGTCCAACTGGCAGGTGTCATCTGACCTTGACCTCATTTTCATGGTTCAGTGGTTATAGTTAAGTTTTTGTGTTTTGGTCTGTTTTTCTTATACTGTATGCAATAGGTCTACTATATTTAGTGTATGGAATGATTGTAAGGTGTACATGTCTAGCTGGCAGGTGTCTTCTGACCTTGACCTCATTTTCATGGTTCAGTGGTCAAAGTTAAGTTTTTGAGTTTTGGTCTTTTTTTCTAATACTATATGCAATAGGTCATCTATATTTGGTGTATGGAAATATTTTATGATGTACATGTCAGTCTTGCATGTTTTATTTGACCTTGACCTCATTTTCACGGTTCATTGCTCAGTGTAAAGTTTTTGTGTTTTGGTCTGTTTTTCTAATACTATAAGCAATAGGTCAACTATATTTGTTGTATGGAAGGATTGCAAGCTGTACATGTCTGCCTGGCATGGTTCATCTGACCTTGACCTCATTTTCATGGTTCATTGGTCAATGTTTAGTTTTCTTGATTTAGTCTGTATCTTAGAAACTATAAACAATAGGTCAACTATATTTAGTGTATTGAATGATTGTAAGGTGTACATGTATTTCTTGTTTGGTTTATATGACCTTGACCTCATTTTCTTGGATCATGTTAAGTGTATGTGATAGTTGTAGTAAAGCTTTATATTTAAGACTATCAACATAATATCAATGATTAGTAAAGAAGGCGAGACATTTCAGCGTGTGCACTCTTGTTTAAATAACTAAATGAAGTTCAGCGTGGCATATTGCTCTCTCTTAACACGGTCAGCCATTTATTTTCCCCTTCCGACAGACTATCATCGTTATTTGTTTCAAAACTTTAAAGGGGAGGGGATGTATATCCTTCAGGCAACGTGAATCGTTCTATGATAAAGGAATGTGCAAGAAGTTTATATATGAATGTAAGATTAATTTTTTTTTCAGAAGCATGGCACAGCAAGAAAAAGATAAAAGACACTACAAGACATTCCAAGTGATTTTGAATAACACAATTGATTGACTTTTCAATGTATTCTTAAATAAATCAAATACATGTAGTTGATGTAAAATGGTGTTTTGTTCTCATCTCTTCAGCCAATTATCAATGATTATTGACTTAAGATGTAACCCTATTAGAAGTGTAGCGTTTTAGTTTAGAAAGAGAAGTTGTATTGAAAAATCTGAATTTGGGACACAAGTTTTAGTCAATGTAACTTGAACTTAAAAATGTGTATAATGTTTGCATAATGTCCAATGGCATATATGTCATGCATGTTCAGGTTGACATATGCATGATGTGTATAAGATAGGTAATAAAAGTTGAGAGTGAAAAACTAAACATTATACCATTGTGGTTGGAATGTGGGCATTCTTGCACTGTCAATCGTCTGTCCACCTATATTTGTCGGATTTTGTCCAACAAATATTTTCATCACTGTTTTTCCCAAAACTGCTGATAAAGATGAGTTCATATTTAATGAGCTGCTTGATAGTGATGAACTGTGATGTGTGAACATTTTTGTATCTAGCACCTGTTTCCTGTTCCCTTATACATTGTATTTCAAAATGTTGAATGTTCTCAAATTTTTCATTACTTTAATTAGTAATGTTGATGAACAGAATGACTTCATATTTGGTAAGTGGCTTGACCATGATGAGTTGTGTCTGCCATTTTGGATGTGTCAAAATTTGTAGATACTTCTTGTTTTTAGAGACTTTGAATTGTGAATTTCATATGCTTAGCAAAACAACTGATTTATTCTTGTTTGTATATAGAATTAATCACTGTGTATAAATAAATTTAACTAATGATTTGTTATTTAAAAAAGCAGGAAACTCAATCAAAAGGAGAGAAAATTTTATATTGATATGATCTAGATATCAACCAAAAACATCTCCTTAAAACATTTTGAAAACATTTTTAAGGCACAGTCTCACTTGCAAGAAAACATCCAAAAAACATTTTTATAACATTATTTGATGTTCATGATGATTTTCAAACGTTCAGAAAATATTTGTAGAAAATATTTTTTAAAAGATTATCAAAATGTTTTATACGCCATTGTTTTTCACATTATCATGATATTTCTTTACAACATTTTAATTATATTATGCAAATATTTTAGAAAATATATTAGAAAACGTTTTAGCGATATATATTCTACCATACATTTAATGTTTTTCTCACGTTTTTTTGTGATATTTTCATGACATTAGACACAACATTTTAAAAACATTTTAAAGATGTTTTTGTGTTTGCTGGGTTCCGCTTGTCTTTTGTGATATACACGAAACCTTCCCCCAAAATGTATAGGGATGTGGTTCTCAAGTCGACGAGGACATGTAAAAAGTATATGTACGGCCCGTGAACCTAGAAACTTTGATCCTCTGTTCTGCTTCCTGGTTTGATTAGTGTACCTTTTTAAAAAGATTAGACTTTTAAGTTTGTAAGTTCATATTTTGTGATTTTATCAATTTTAAAGAGAAACGAGCATCATGCGTGCGTATAATATCCTTTTGTTAATTTAAAATATATTGAGAGATGATGATAAGGTACATGGTAATTAGGTTCTCAAGTGCAACATAGCTAAAAATTCATTTTTGTTTTTAGCCTACCGCACTTAGAGGAAAAACATCTGATAATAACGTCATTGTCGTTGTTAATGTTAAATACGTGTACATCCTGTGCTATTTACATTTTGTTATTATGATTTGAAACAAATGTGACAAGTGGAAACAGATAAAGAAAATATCGTAATGGAAGTCCTTAAAAAACTTACTAAAAGCATGCGATAGTTATTTTTGTTTTAGACTCTGATTGGTCCAAGATTACAAGAACTTCAATTCTTCTATAAGTACAAACACAAATTTCTATACTTACGGTCATGATCTGGATAAACTTTACAAACTTTATCATTTCGTGCTATTAGATTGCTTAAATAAAATCGATAACACCTATAGGTCCTTTAACAGTGGGGGTCAGATTTACTGTCACAGGAAGCAGGCGTCGAGGTGTATACCAAGGTACCAATGTGTCGAAGAGGCCTTAAATAATGTCCTTTGAAACAAGGACGCTATATCAATAACACAATTGGTATAGTTTTCAAAGTTCGATTGAAAGTGTAAACACCAATTGGACATCTAAGTTTGTACTTAAAAACCTTCAAATTTTTTTCTTGATTACTTCCGCATCTCTTACCTGCACACCTTGCACAAATGTTGCGTTTATTTGTCTGTTCGTGTTTCCTCTAAAACATACATCTGACCTTCATCAAACTTAGCATTATCATTCCCTAACGATAAGGAGGCAATGCATTATTTACTATTGAGCTCAAGAATCCAGCGGTAGTGTTGCTCCAAATATATGCTGTCGTTCCTTTCGTTTTGCTGAGGCATAAAACTGAAATTCTCTTCTGACGGTCAGGCTTTTCTTAAGTACAAGAATGACATTATTGTGCAAAAGATATCAGGAGTGCGATGCAGATTATCAAGGTTTGTACATGTAATTGATGATAATCTGTCTGAGAGAGGCAACATGTTTTTAGAGTTGCGGATGGTTCCGAATATTATTTAAGCTATTTAAGCTGCCATAACGAGATTTACTTTGCTGAAGCAGCTTATAATAATAATTGATAAATTCCATCATAAACATATTGTTGTCAAAATGTTTAAATACTGAACAAAAAATCGGTCAGCGATGAACCGATTACGTCTGTACACTTCTATCGAAACGTCATTTATGCCAGTTTAGTATGACAAAGTGAAATGTTTTATCCAGCTACAATTCAACAAATGGGACATAGACGGATCGTTTGCTCTACTGAACAACAGTAAAAAATTGACATCCTGTTTTGTGAACAATTCAAACACGTTTTATTAACAATTAAAATCTATAATTTTAAATGTATTTATATGCTGTTTGTATGCCTGACTGCTCTAGCTTAACATACTTAAGAAATGTAAAACGGATACATACACAAATAATATCATGTGAATATGTCTTGTACTTCCCGGTTATCATTGAACACAATGTGATGTTGACTGTTCTGGTTGCATGCAATAAAGGTACGTTGTTTTTTTCTATTTGTGTAATTATAAAAATATAATAAAATGACTGTAATACTACATTTCACTCATATTGAATGTTCAAACCCAATTCATGTTTTCATGAAATGTCTGATGATGAAATATTGAATTGAACATTAATTCTGGTTTTTGTATTCTGACGTGTAATCTGCATAGCAAATCTTGATTAGATGGTTGAACAAAAAAACGTAAATAAACATTTCATTTTAAACCATTCTCATATACATGTACTATGGAATAGCTAAGATACTAGAAGATACGTTCAATTTCACTATAGATTGCATATTTGAATAAATTTATTTCACGATAATACACATGTGCAATTTAGAACATACTATAGTAGTTCCTGTCAACTCTCCACATGAGACCAAAAGACATATATATATGTGGTTTGGATATTTGTTATCATTATTATTATCTTCCCAACTCGTTGAATGTATACATACATCGTGTACCGAGATATCCCATTGTTGCATTTGAGCTACTTACTTTTTTTAAACTAAGAAACATGATTGATTAACCATTTAATTCATGCCATCAAAAGGAAATGTTACTGATAGCCACGGCGTTCGGTGCATATTTCCATTCATTTATTTGATTTTCGTTTTAAGAAACCAAAAAAATAAAAAACGAGAACAATTTTGTGTTTCTTTTTTTTTTTTTTAATATATCAAACACAAAAAAATCGAAAATACGTTCGTTTTTCTTTTTTTTTTATACGATATCAAATCAAAAATACTTTCTTCCATCATTTTTGGTTTTAAAAAATCAAAAACAAAAGACAAAAACACCTCCGTTATTTTTTTTTCGTTTTTGATTTCTAGAAACGATAAAACGAAAGGACAGAAGTATACACGTACAGTTTACACTATAAATGTACAACTGTACAAAACTGATAAGTTGCCTTTTTTATGAACGTCGTTCAATCCAATGCAAATGTTACGTCCACAGGTATTAAATAAACTCATCATAGATACCAGGATTGAAATTTTATATTTACGCCAGACACGCGTTTCGTCTACAAAAGACTCATCAGTGACGCTCGAATCAAAACGTGTTTAAAGGCCAAATAAAGTACGAAGTTGAAGAGCATTGATGACTAAAAAATTCATAAAAGTTTTGCCAAATACAGCTAAGGTAATCTATTCCTGAGGTAGAAAAGCCTTAGTATTTCAAAAATTCAAAGTTTTGTAAACAGTTAATTTATAATTAATATGACCATATCGATGATAATCCATGTCAACACAGAAGTGCTGACTACTGGGCTGGTGATACCCTCGGGGTATAAAAACTCCACCAGCAGTGGCATCGACCCAGTGGATGTAAATAAACTCATCATAGATACCAGGATTGAAATTTTATATTTGCGCCAGACGCGCGTTTCCTCTACAAACGACTCATCAGTGACGCTCGAATCAAAAAGTGTTTAAAGGCCAAATAAAGTACGAAGTTGAAAAGCATTGAGGACCAAAAAAATCCTAAAAATTTTGCCAAATACAGCTAAGGTAATCTATTCCTGAGGTAGAAAAGCCTTAGTATTTCAAAAATTCGAAGTTTTGTAAACAGTTAATTTATAATTAATATGACCATATCGATGATAATCCATGTCAACACAGAAGTGCTGACTACTGGGCTGGTGATACCCTCGGGGAATAAAAACTCCATCAGCAGTGGCATCGACCCAGTGGTTGTAAATAAACTCATCATAGATACCAGGATTGAAATTTTATATGTGCGCCAGACGCGCGTTTCGTCTACAAAAGACTCATCAGTGACGCTCGAATGAAAAAGTGTAAAAAGGCCAAATAAAGTACGAAGTTGAAGAGCATTGAGGACCAAGAAATTCCTAAAAGTTTTGCCAAATACAGCTAAGGTAATCTATTCCTGAGGTAGATAGAGTCACCATGGAGGAAAATAAATAAAAAACTTTGGTTATGGTTATCGCAAGGAAAATTGTGTTTCCTTTTTGGCAGTTGTAATGATT